ATAATTAGTACATAAATACTTCTGGTCGAAATTTTTTAGTAGGTGTTACCTGCAAAATAAACACCAGTCATACATTGCTCTGTTATATAGTTCATGTTATACAAGAAGAATTAAACTGGTCTGGAAAAATCCCAATTGTCATAACCAAACCAATTTTAATTGGTTTAATTTTTTAAGGTCTTAAAAGACCTTTGAAATAATCCAGTTTCGAATTCTCCAATGCTCTGTGTTAGCCTCATTTGTGCGCAAAATATTCCTAATTGTGAGAATAAAAGTGTGAGATTTCAAATCAATTCTATTGTCTTTCTTTTCGAATTCCATGCGTTTTCTCGGGCKATCAATAAAACAAAACAATACGTTTCTTCGTTCTGAGGCAAACCAGAACTCGAAATTGGAGTATTGAAGATAAGTCTTCTTTACAAAGAAAAAGCTCATGATGCCATAGARGATAGMRACCTTACAAAGAAAATTGTTACTCAAGTTGGAAATGTTGTGAGAAATGAGAGACAGCAGAAAGAATTGGACAATTTTGAAAAAGGTAATATATTAACAAAGGCAGATCCACTGGRGGGCASAGGGGGGGATGAAGCCTTCTCTGTAGCCAAAAAATAGATAAATACAAATATGAATTCTAACTCAGGCTGGTAATTTTAATCAAGCTCCCCTCCCCTATACTTTCCCCTATTTTAAGATATGCCCCCCTTATTTTTCCTGGATCCTCCCTTATTAAAACAATGCAATGCAGTATTATAATTATTGATATCGATCGTAACCCATCGTAAYCCATTTCGTCTATAAGCTTTGTAGTTACACACTTTCTCTTCGGCCTTTTATCCGCCGTGTTGTAACATGGCATTCCTTCGCGTTTTGGGATATCGAATGTCACTGCGCATGCTAAGTGAGGAAAAAAATAGGTCTGKGACGCACTGGGGCAAATGTTCCAAACTGTATGCAATGAGTTTGATATGAAAAAAGGAACCAACGGGACCACTTAATCCTAGCGAGCTTGACGTATGTACCTAGCATTTAATGTTCTTCTTGAGAGATAGACGTTCATAAGTCTTGTGTATCTCTATCATCTTAGTCGGGCTTATRTCATGTCCAATAGCTATTTTATCCCGAAACTGACAGTCAGTTCTTGGTAAATCCATTGTGAAACCAGGTAACTGCGTGATTTGAATTCCTAAGTCTCGTGCTGCTACRCCTATRTATGCATCGTCTGTATGAAACGGTTTACGAAGCTGAGTGTAGTAGAAAAATACCGGCAGGACATCGGTAGAAAGCACRTGAAATGCTCCATAACAGAACGGAGGCCAAAGAGACTCGTTGAATTGTTCCCTTGAAATATACCATTTGCGCCATTTACYTTTCGGATCACGAACAATATTCCGTGCAGGGTGGATACGTCCACCGAAAAACCATCCAGGTGATCCTCTATTATACAACCAGTGTACAAGCTTATTAACGCGAACATACACGTCATCRTCAGTTTTCAGGACGTAACGACAAGAAAATGTATTAAACGCCCACCAATGCGCCATGACAGTTTTGATTGCAATATTAGTATAAATATCTTTAAATTGACCAATGATAACATCATTATGCTTTATGGCCTCAAGGTGGTTGTACTCGTTTGAGTTGTTATCTGTGCTCAGTCCTAGAGAGAAAAACAACCTCCATTTGATAGTACAATTGTTTTCTGTGTCTTTCCCCCAAGATTCGCGTATTGCCTTTCTCAGCAATCGATGAGCTGCGTTTCCTGGATGAGAGTTGACAACGACCACTAAATAGAAGTTTTTGTCTGAAATGTTGGGTTGGATGTGTGGTGTGATGATAGGGAAATTCGTTCCATYGCTGAACGTCGTCGATGGATTGTACATTTGYGATCGCTTCTCTTGACCACGATAGCAAGGCGGTGTAGCATGCTCTCGAGGTCTAGCAGTTGTAGGCTGTACATGATGAMAAGCTGGAGTAGGCAGTGTGGTCTTAACGTGTAATGATGCGTTGGTCGTGGAAACATTCAAATGACGACTGCTTTGGGTGATTGATGTAGGATCCGGACGAATAGTATTGATCCAAAAGAAAATCCCACATGACGCAAATATAAGAAGCAAAATGCGTTTTACATTAACGAGTTTTCTRCAAATCAGTCGTAGCACCAATAGATCGTGTCTTACATTTGATCTTGTTCGTCCTTGCATATGCATACCTGCACCAGAAAGAAAGAAATAAACAAAATCATCATGTTTAGGTTTTTATAAGGTTTTATTATGAATAGACTAAGG